TAATATCGTAATCGTATTCCTGGTCTGTCTCGATCAAAAATCTTCTTCCGAAGAGAGTATTTCGTTGTTCATACGATTGCAAGTAGTTATTTTTCTATAGTACTATAATTTTGTTCCACACCATTTTGGGTACGGCCAGCATAAGAAATAGGATGTCCACTTTGGGATAGAACAGCTCCAAGTGCGAATTTACTTGCATCAGTTTGAAGTACGAATTTTTGGTTAAAATCAAAATATGTTTAAAAGGTGATATCTTTCCGTGAATTTCGATTTGGCGAAATCCTGTCGCCAAATCAAGTGTGATAAAACTTTGACAACGTCCAAGTTTTTCTAAAATGTCATCAATGTTTGGGATTGGATACGTATCACCAATGGTTACTTCATTGAGTTTCCTGTAGTCTATATCGAGTCTCCATTTTGCTTTGCCGCTGGCATACAAAAAAAACAAGGGAGTAAGGGATGTTACTGGGTCTTATAATTGTTTTGTGTAACATTTCCTCAATTTGTATCTTTACTTCGTCTTTATGTACTTACGGATATTGGTATGTTTTTGCAGCAATGGTAATGTTATTTACGCTTAATGGCATTTGTGAATGTTAGGTCGCTTTCTTCTGAGTTAAATACATTCTTATACTTTTTATATGTGGCGTAAGTTTTCGGTTTTCTTCTTCGTTTAGACGTTCTAAACCGATTTGTTCTATTGGATTATTTATATTGTCGTCAAATTAAGAGTATACAAATTCTCAGATATTATTTCTTTCGTATAATGGACTTCTAAAACATCTCATTTTGGTAAATCTCCGTTTACTTGAACGAGAGCACTAATTTTGCAGTTTTCTGCTTCATATACTTCTATTATTTCGATATTCTTATCGTTTTATATAATTGGAGGATTATATATTAAGCTGTTTTTTGTTCAACAGGTAACGTTACTTGATGCATTCCATGTTTTTCGAACCAGTATTCGATACCGTCATTGGTACATCGAATGGATATTTCATTTTCTGCGATTTTCAAAAGATTGTCTTTCATATTTACAATTGAATTTATTTGTCTTAATATGTTATTGCCAATTATTCCGTTATATTGATACATTAAAATAGGCTGTTCCGTAATTAATTGCTTTAATTTATCAAACGCTAATATATAATTCGGATCACTTGTTTTAAATCGTCCATCTTTCTTAAGATAATAAATCATTGGCAATGCGATATGTGCATAATTCCTTATGAATTTTCTATAATACCCTGTCATACCTAAAAACGATTTAATTTGCTTTTGGTTTGCGGGTAATCTTAAATTTATAATTACACTCACTTTTTTCTTATTTGGTTTTAATCCTTCGGGAGTCAAAATGTGTCCTAAATAAGAAGTTTGGTGAGAATTTACATTTATCAACTAGAATTTTAAGACCGGCTTCTTCAAGGGCGATATAATCTTTTTCAGACTATCTATATGTTCTTGTAGAGAAGTACTAAATACCAGTATGTCGTCCAAATATACGACACATATTCGGTTAATATATTTTTTTAATACTGAATTCATTAATCTTTGGAAAGTAGCCGGGGCATTCTTTAGCCCAAATGGCATTCTTATGAATTCATAATGCCCAAATGGAGTTGAAAATGCAGTCTTTTGTCTATGTTCAGGCTTTACCATAATCTGATGGAAACCTTTAGCCAAAACGATAGTAGAGAAGTACTGAGCTTTACCCAATTTATCTAATATATTCTCTATATTAGGAATTGGGTATTTGTCAGCGATGGTGTTATCATTTTATTAATTCTATTTGTAAACGATTATATAAAGGGTCAGGCAAGAAGAAATAAATTCCTATCTTACCTATTCTTTTATATTTTTTAAAATGTTGTGAAAATTATTACTGTCAAGATCAGCTCTATGTATAACTATTCTAGTATTTCCAAACATTAGATCTGATTCTTTGTCTTTTCTATCTGTTAATATAATTTGGGTTTTAAATCGATTCACGACTGTACTTAAAATGGGAAAATGGTCATTAGGATCTTCATGTTGTGAATGTATGGTTGCTGCAACCGAATCATTCCGAATATCTTCAATATTTTTAATCTCATTATTATCTGCATCAATTCGACTTAAAAAATCGGCTATCTTTCTTTCTTTACCTTTTATATAATATATTTTACCATCGTATTCACCCAGTTGAATAAGCCATCTTTGGAGTCTAGGATTAAAATCTCTTGAAGAATTCTTTATCTGTAGCCACTTAAGTGGTTGATGGTCAGTGTGTAAATCACATTCTCGGCCATACAAGTACGGTCTAAAGTACTTTACACCCCATACTACAGCAAGAAGTTCTTTTTCAATGGCTGAATAATTTCGTTCGTGTTCATTTAATGTTCTTGAGAGAGGACTGCGCCCAACGCAAAGTTAGTAGCATCAGTAGTAAGCTTGAATCTTTTGTCGAAGTCCGGCTACATTAAAATAGGATGTTCCGTAATTAATTGCTTTAATTTATCAAACGCTAATATATAATTCGGATCACTTGTTTTAACTCGTCTATCTTTCTTAAGGTAATAAATCATTGGAAATGCGATATGTGCATAATTCCTTATGAATTTTCTATAATACCCTGTCATACCTAAACACGATTTAATTTGCTTTTGGTTTGCGGGTAATCTTAAATTTATAATTACACTCACTTTTTTCTTATTTGGTTTTAATCCTTCGGGAGTCAAAATGTGTCCTAAATAAGAAGTTTCTTTTGCTGAGAATTTACATTTATCAACTAGAATTTTAAGACCGGCTTCTTCAAGGGCGATATAATCTTTTTCAGACTATCTATATGTTATTGTAGAGAAGTACTAAATACCAGTATGTCGTCCAAATATACGACACATATTCGGTTAATATATTTTCTTAATACTGAATTCATTAATCTTTGGAAAGTAACCGGGGCATTCTTTAGCCCAAATGGCATTCTTATGAATTCATAATGGCCAAATGGAGTTGAAAATGCAGTATTTTGTCTATGTTCAGGCTTTACCATAATCTGATGGAAACCTTTAGCCAAAACGATAGTAGAGAAGTACTGAGCTTTACCCAATTTATCTAATATATTCTCTATATTAGGAATTGGGTATTTGTCAGCGATGGTGTTATCATTTAAGTTCCTATAATCTATAACTATGTGCCACTTTTTGTTCCCACGACTATCATCCTTTTTGGGAACAATCCAAAGTGGGCTGTTATATGGGGAGGAACTTTCCTTAATTATCCCCTGTTTCAACATATCGCTGATTTGACGTTCAATTTCCTCTTCGTGGACTTTTGGATACCTGTATATTTTGGAATATATGGGTCTGTCAGTTTTAGTGGTTATTTCATGTTCTATTTCATGAGTAAATGTTAGGTTATCCCCTTCTATATAAAACACAGTATGGTATCTTTTTAATAATTTTGAAATTGATTTGTATTCCTCACTATTTAAATTTGATTCATTAATGATATTTTCTATTGGACATGGAATAGTTTTTAATGTACAAACATCAAATATGTCTGGAGGATAATCACTAAAAAATATTATTGATTTTTCTACTTGTATAAAATAATCTTCAAAATCTATTTTAACTTTCAGTTTACACAAAATGTCTTGCCCAATTATGGCATTATATTTTTTTCCTATCAAATCATTGACCATCCAAGTCATGAAGCCGACTGTATTAAATTCGTCTGGGTATGGAGTTGGTATGTGTTTACCTATTTCCGTTAATCCGTTTAATGTTCTGAAGTACATTTTCGGCTTATCATCTGTGACCATGAAATTTTTTAATAAATGAACTTCTCGTAGAGCCTGTGTCAATAAGACAACTTATTTTTCGGTCTCTAATAGTAAGTCTTACTATGGTGGGCCTCTTCCATAAAATTTTCATCGCACTGAATGTTATCAGTATCCATAAAATGTTGGCCCGAATTCTCAATAGTTTTAGCGGACATTTTACTTTGTTCAGATTTTTTTCTTGTGTGTAGTTTTAATTAGTTTGTCTTCTGTTGTTGTTATTATTAATATTCTGTTGGAAATGTTTGTAGTTTGTATTATAATTTTGTGTCGTGTCGTTCCTCTTTTCCACTGTTCGTCTTGTTCCGGCATATTTTCCTGTATATTATTTCCATAATATATTTTATTAGTGGTGGTGTTGTATTGCGAATATCTATTGTTGTTGGTATTATTTTCTTCTGTTTTTTTGTAAGGCTTTTGGTTAAGGGCTTTTCTATGCCTGAAATCGATCGATCTTCTATCGTCCAAAAGTCTGAGTCTTGTATATTTAGAAACGATATCCTGAAGAGTCTCTTCTTCTGAAATATGGAAATATGCCCGTCAATTTTTTCTAATAGTAAATCAACAAGATCCCTATCGACATTCATAGGTTCATATATCTGAGGTTTTCTTATATCTATTTGAAATAACTCATTTATTTCGTACTTAGCATCAAGAAAGTGTTTAAATAGTTGTTGTTGTGAACCGTAAACTTATGTTGGTTTTTGTTAACATATATTTGTTGATTTATTAATTTTTCAGTTCACTATTTTTTCTTTTTATATCTTGTCTTATATATTTTCTTTGCAAATTAACTTAGCCGAACTTTACAATGCCTTAAAACGGAGGTTTTTTCTCCGGAATTGAATAGCCCTACTGCGCCAGTAACGTGGATTAAAAATACACGGTTTCTCTTTGGAGATACTTGCATTCAATGCAGCGAAACATTTATGCTTACGTTGCATTGAATGATTGCCTCTGAATATGGGAACGAAAACAAAAGTTTCATATATCATTTGAGAACTTTTGTATTTCGCTTCATCCATGACAATTGTTTACTTATTATTAGATTACTATACATCCAGAGATGGGGATGTAACTCGCGTGATCCAATTTCTTTGTGATCAATTGAATCAATAGAGCATCCCAAGACGTAGTGTCGATTTTAAGATTGTTGAGGGCTAGCATGTATTCCTTTGTAGTGTCATGCAGAGCCTTGGTGGAAGCCGTTGATGATGTTCAGAATCCGTTCTACTAGAGTGGAAAAAAGAACCCGTTTATTGTTATAACGTTCTTGCAGTAACATCCATGCCGTTTTGTAATTATCCTCTGTCAAGGATAGATGGCTGATTAGTTTGCCAGCTTCGCCAGATAAATTGGTTTTGAGATACCACATTTTTTGAACACTTGGGAGAGACTGTTTGTCTACTGTCTCCAAGAAAAGTTCATAGAACTGACGCCACTTCAAACAATCCCCATTGAATTGAGGAATTGTTACCTTTGGTAGTGGGAGTAAACTGTGTGCTATAATGTCACTCCCCAGTTGAGGTGCGTTGGTCACGGTTTCGCTGCATTTGTCCTTCAAGACTGCCAGTTTTATTAAGTTGTCTTGTACCGAATCTTCAAGCATTATCGTAGCTTTCTTCAATCTGCTGCAATATTTCATCGTAGAGCTCCATAGCTTCTTTATAGTATCTTCTTTGATGCTATAAAATTGCTTCGGCTGTTCCGCTTCGATTGTGTCCAAGCCTTGCAAGTGACGACTAAGGGCACTCATTCGAGCATTTGTCATTCTGGCAAGTCCATCAACACGGGAAGGTATTTTGTCTTCTGCGACAACTTCAGTCGATTTCTCTCTCAAGGTGACAAAGATGGATCATCGCGAATTCTGTTTTCTGCCTTCTCGAAACTCTGCCATAACATAGTTCATAAAGTTTGCCCTTGTAGAACTCTTACGTTCTTCTTTCAAGAGGGGCCTTCTTTATAGTAGAGACGAATTTTTCGAAATTACTGGCTTTCTTCCTGCTGAGAAATAAGCTTTTGGACGTTTGCCATTGTTGTTTGTTGATGTATTAGCGAGTAGCAACAGTTGTTGAATGATGATTAGTTACAGGCAATTTCCTCCTGTTTTTCCACCAGAGCTCAAAAAGGGATTTTTGAAATTGGTTCGAGTACGTTACATCCTCACACCTTGTGGACAACGTCACCAAAATATGTTTCGGATTAGTTACCGTCAGGATCACGTCGGGGTCACCAAAAATGATTAATTTGTTATTATGTTAAATGATATACGTAACACTTGAATTACGTAATCTTGTTACTTTTACAATTCATTGTAATCTACCAAGAATCTTTATTTTGCATTGACTATTTATACAATTTTGAATTACCATAAAATTAACTAAATATGTATAATAAGCATTATTCTTCAGCCCGTAACCCATGCATTGTTGTTTCTTTATTTGGGTTACTGGCCTACATACACAAAAACAATAATAAAGTTGGGTCAGTTATTCGCTGACAATAATAATATGATTAAATAATATTAATATTAATGTAGGAAATCAATATGTTCTGTTTGAACTGTTCTGTTTCAAGAAAAAAATATATATAATAATTTAATTGAAACATAAAAAATACAATATTTTCGAAAAGTTGAGAAATTTTCTTTCACTTGATATATTACTGCGAATCTTTATAGTTTCCCCACTGTTGCTCCCGTAATTTGAAGAAAAATATATTTAAAAATCATTATTATTTGGTTTTTATTCCTTTAAACGTATTTCAGTATAAAATATTTCAACTCGTATTCCCAAAATATATATTTTAAATATATATTTTCATAATAAACCCGAATTTATTTTCCCGTTGATTCTGTTATACTGTATTACAAAACTGTTATACTAAACACAAATTCGAAGTTTATCTTAACGCACATGCCAGAGGTTATGTTATTTATAACGAAGCCATGCACAAAGTCTCCGGTCGGCAGAAAAATACGCTGTTGGTGAAAAGGTGGGGAGTCTTCAACAGCGAGCAGAATGAGTAGTCTTGGACAGAACGTCATTGGAATGTCTGGATGAGACTAAAGCTAAGGCGCACTACATTTCCAACGCTATCTACTTCAAAATTTGAAATAAGCCACAAAAGAAGCGAAGAAGAAACACCTACCAAGAAAACTAAAGGAACTGACGAAAATATGATTTACCCCAAGAATATCATTTATTGGAGGTAATTTATACACCATCCAGGTAAATCTCTATTGGAGTGAGACACCAAGTATGGCTCAGATAAAAAAATAATTAAAGGTAATATACACATTAAACACATTACTTTGGATAGCCTATAATTGCATAGAAAAGTTGTTATGGTTTAATATAAACTAAAAACATTTTTATTCAAATACGGGTTCTCCTCCCAGAACCCTAATAACATGTACGTTTTCTCTCATGTATGTTTTCTCTTCTTTCCAGAGTTCTCAGTTCGACCATACTGAAGAAGGGAAATGGTAAAATTTACCTCGCATTAGTTATCTTCCATTCGACTCGTATTAGTCTATCTTCCGTTGTAAATATAATTAAATAGAAGATGTTAGACATAACAATATATTCAGCAAACGTAATGGACGTCGTGGTTTTTGTCTCGTAAAAGTATTCTTTCTCTAACCATAGATATATAGCTATAAAATCTCACGGCCAAAAACTCGTACTGAAACCGAAACAAGAGAAGATGAGGAGGTTAATAGATAGAAAAACTGAAGAAACAATATGGCTTCTCACAAAAACTGATTTCCCAGCGGGCACGCTGATAACGAATGATGTAACGGTAGAAAGGAAGGTAAGACCCGCGTAACCTATGATTGATAAGGGTTAGAAAATGTCGTCCCTGCATTATTAATAACTACTAACTACCATGGCATCATTACACAAGGTAGTCTACTAATTCAGTCATATGTTTCCAAATTTTCAAAAGTTTAATTTTGTTCACATTCAGTTTTCATAACTTAAATCAAAAGATCTACAAGAACAATGTTCAGTTTTATTTAATATAATTTTTATTAATTTGTTGAAAATATGCCAATCGACATACATGGAATTTATTTTTAATTTATAGATGAGTTACAAATTGTCATTATCAATTCATGCAATGAGACTACCTTGAGTAATTATGTACTGACTAACTACCAAGCCTAACTACTTTTCTACTTCTTTCTACAGTCTACACCATCATAAAGAGGAAAATATCCAATATGCTAAAATATCGAGGGCACCTTTGACAAAAAATTTACACATTAGCCGTATACACTGACATCGATGGACCTTGAATAATGTCGACACTGAAAAATTAATCCAATTCTTAGAAGTCTTCGGAATTGAGCGTGTAATCATAGACTGAGTCAACCATATTCTCAGGAATAGATGGATAAACTGTAGTCTAAAAGACAAATATCAGGGATGGGGTTTGAATCCAAAGATTGATGGGTATGGGGTGGTCTGCAATGGAAAAAGGTAATGTAATAACATTGAAGTAAGTTCAAACTTTGGACAAATTATTACACGCATGCTTGAAGTTTAGTATTGAATATGGATAGATCGGTTAGCGGTTTGCTGTACCGGTCATATAACTTTACTCCCAATTTTTGGCACTTATTGGATATTTTTAGTTTCCCTAAATTATAAATATCGGCCTATTTGTTGGTTAGGCCCCATCGTCATATTGTACGTATTTTGATGGCCCCTTGCGCATTGTACTCTCTAAGGGGATATAACTTGGAATTCCGTATTCGTGAACGAATTCTATGCCAAAGAATATTCAATTTCGACGAAATCCCAATACAAAGGTTCCGCCTCAGTTTATGTATTTGTTTGGTCCTATGCACATTTTCAAACGAAAGTGGCTGTAATTTTCAATGTAGGAACCTACTTGTTTTGAATTCCCCCAATATGAGACGTTAAGAAAATACTTCGAAAAACTCCATATTTTAAAAAAAATCGTAAACCTCGACAATAAGCATTTCACAACTCATTGCGTATTCTATAATCCGGATAATATAATTTTTTATTATTTTTTTTTTTATATTTAGAAAATTGTATTAAAAAATTATTATTATTACATAGATTATTTTTTTTTAATAAATATATATAACTTTTTGATATTCAATAATGTAATAAAAATGTAAACCAATTTAAAACCTTAGTTCTACGAAGATACATTTTGTCCTCATATTACCTTCACAAACATATCATTTAACGGGAACTGTTGTAATGTAGTAAAATCTTTTGGGAATACAGAAAACCTGAGTTGTATTATCAGCTTTTTGTAAGTGGCTTGTGTCTTGGATAATTCATAACTCTTTTAGCGACATCTAGTATAGCTTTTGCGGTTACCTACGGGAATGCGCTTTTAACCTATTGCTAAAAATTCGAATAGAGGCATATACGCAAAAATATATAAATTCATAATGTAAAATGTTAAAGGATAGAAAATTGGCCGCTTACTGTTTTAATTTATGAGAAAAATGTCGTTGCTAAACAAATTGATGGATAATCACATAAATATAATTTTTTAATTAAATTTTTAATTAGTGAAACAACTGTTTATATTGAGGTTCATTTATTGAATGAATTAAAATAATATAACTTAGACATAAATTTACATTAATAATTACAATAGACTTATGCTACGTGGGAAAAAGCATAGTAAGCATAATACATGCTTCCTAGCTTTATGTAGTGTGGACAACGAAACTCAACAAAGTGTGAGTATTAGGTTACATACAGAAGGTTTGTCAACGAACGGCTAAAAATTGATATAATGTTACATACTGAATATTGAAAAATAACGTAACATACAGAAGGTATGTCAACGTACGCTAGTCAAACACACTACACCTCCCCTTTTAACGAAGAATAATCAATGACTTGATTGATTATTCTTAGTTTTACCCAAATTAGGTTACATACTGAATTAATTATAAGTTTAGTTTATTCAATTTTTAAAGAACATTTTTTTATTTTATATTTCTGTCGTTAAAACCTCAATATTTTGTATATATTTAAACATGAATATTTTTTATATATTTAAGGTTAAGTGTCACAGTGTAGGCATACCAATCTGTATTACAAAAATGCAATTCGTAACATATAACAAACAATAATTTAAACGTAGTTTAAAAATAGTTGTTACTGTTTTTTTAGAGTGCCAAAAAAAGTCATTGAACATACGCTTTGGTTCTGTCTTTATGCACCTTAAATGTTTTTCCATTGTTGTCCAATAGATCAACATTATTGTTATTGTCAATACCAACAACTTTATACGGTCCTTTATGAAGTGGATCTAATTTTTGCCTACTTTCATTTTTGACCAATACAAAATAATTTATTGACATGTTTATTGGATTGATTATTTCATTGGAGATTTTCTGTCTAAACAATTTTGCTTTATCAATGAGATTAGCGGCTCTATGTTGTGCAACAGAATTTGAATATTACTTCCTATTCGTATGAATCTATATTGTGGACCGGATTTATGCTTCCACTTTGAGTAAAATCCAGGGATGGTGGTACTTTTCCATATACTAACTCAAATGGACAGTATCCGTGAGCAGTAGAAGGTGTTGTATTATAACAATAAACAAAAAATTTCAACCATTCATCCCAATCGGATTTGTCTAATGATACATATGATCTTAAATACGCGATAAATGTTCTGTGAGATCGCTCAACAGTACCAAGTGTCTCATGATGGTAGGGAGTGGAATTTAATTTTTCAATTTTCATTAGTTGGCATAGA